CACACACACACACACACACACACACACACACACACACACACACACACACACACTCACGCACGCACGCACCACGCACGCACACACGCACGCACGCACGCACGCAAGCGCGCGCGCTCGCACACACACACACACACAGACACACACAATTTACACATTACAACGTATTGTACTTAGTGATTTAGCTTTCTAACTTGTTATCTTTTCTTTTCTGTTTATTATTTTTGTTATGAAGTATTAATAGTTATTAACTGCACCTTTGTCACATATTCTAGATCGAGTCTGAGAGTGGGGGGTCGGAATACTGTAACACAGGGTATCCTAGTACAGATTCCGCTCTCTCACAATGGTCAAACACATTGTCATTTCAACTTGTGCATGTATCTATTATACGATCAATACCATTGTGATTGGAAATAAATGATTATTATTATTATTACCATTTTTAATAAACTAGTCGAGAACAGGTTCACAGGCACTTCAAGTTTGACACTTAAGTTTTAACTCTTCGCTTTATACATACTATTAAGTTGGTACGGTATCTGGCTGAATGAAGAAAGACTTTCATAGATTTCCCACAGATGGTGCTACGGCAGTCTTTAAAAACAAAAACCAAATATTTGCAACAAGCGCATAGAAAAATTCGTAAGGTCTGCTGGTTCGATCCGCAGCTCAGTTGGGAGCGCGTCAGGCACTGTATAGTGATGGCGCTGGTTTCAATCCAGCTGATTGAAGGAATTTTCCTTAGTGTTCGATCTTTGTATTTATAATTTGTTAGTCGCTTGTCATAAGATCGGTCCAAATATTTTCGTTTAACATTTAATTGCTATTTGGATATTATATTGGATACCTTTAGCTGTATTTAATTTAAAGTCAGGAACAGTTTGCGTATTTGTAAACATTCACGACACTTCGTTCACGAGTTATCACTGTTTTATTAATAGTTTGCTATGACGATTAAAGCATAAAGTATTATATTTACGTTGTTGGTAATTGGATGTCAAAGATAAAATAGTTTTGGTATTATTTCATTTCCTTTTCAAATGCCGTGTATGGATTCTGAATAAGATATTTCATGTGACCACGAATATACATGTAACATGTATTGTAGTGCAAAGGTCTATGGGTAGGCAACAAAGGTAGCGCGCGAAATACAAGAGTACAAAGGTGCAATAAGCCCGAGTGCAGTTTCCACATGACTCTGGGAGTGGTGCACTGTAAAATTCTCCTTCGCAAGTAATTACCGTAACATTTGTAGTCCCTAGGCATTCTATTACGCGTGAAGAATTTAAAATGAAATCGGCGATGGACATAACAGAAACATTTATTGAATTGTTCTACACTTCCATTTTTAACTTTTCATATTACACCCTATTATAGAGCACAATAAAATGTAATAAAATGTAATAGTAGTACACAGTGGATAAATTGTATTAAGACAGTTTTTAAAGCGTCAACAAGTTTCGAATCCTTATCAACTGCGCTACTATCATCTTTGCATAGGCGAACTTCAAACATATCTACAGTCGACCAAGTGGATCTATAGTTTCCATTCTATTGATGTAAATTACTTTTCACAAAGTTGCTCTTTTATTTCGACATTCATCATGATCGACAGGATTCTACGTGAGGGAAGTAAATTCATTTTAGCAGCCGTCTAAGGAGAATTAAAGAAACTCCATATATGTACATTATATGGTCATGATCTTAGTATAATACGTTTTATCATCTTTGCATTTACCTGACAAAACTTAGAGCTTCCGGCAATTGCCAAATTCATGATAGGACACCAAAAACTCAAACTCAAACCCGACGCGAAGCCAAAGAGATTCTCACCCGTATCTAGTCCTTCAGGGGGAAATCTTTAGTAGATTTTTATTCCGAGGTCTATGCTCAATAGAACTTAGGCTCGTTACTTAGCTATTTTACGAGTTAAAAGCCTTCAGCTCGCCCTTTTGTCCGGTTGCGCAACAAAGGCCACGAGCGGCCAACTACAATATATTAGTTACAAAACAATAATAATAAAAGAATACGTGATGGCATAACACTCAATTTATTCTGATCAACATAACGAGTCGTCGCGATGGCAACGAACGCGAGGCCGCCAATTGTCATTGTCCTACCTAATACTTCCAAGAAACCTTGATGTGATTAAATTGCCACATGCGCTTTATTTGTTTATTAACCAAATTTAAAGTCTCTGGAAAATATTTTGTCAAATTAACACTTAGTATTGTTAATATTGCTACTCATAGTAAAGACTTACGGTATCATATCACGGTCATTACAAATTACTAGGTTTTTAAACTTGTCGAATTAACAAATAAATTGTTATAACAAAAATACTGACACTGAAATACTAACCTAAAATACTACCAAAATGGGTTTAAAAAAATGTTGTTCAAACCTATATAACATGACACAACTACCCACTGAGAAACAGAACAATTTATGAATACGAAATTCCAATATATCACAGTTTACTAAATCAGCTTACCGCCCCAAAATGTCTACTACTACGACATCCCTAAAAATTTATTTAAAAATCGTTATTAATAAAAATAATAGTCTATGAAGTGATTCTAAGAGCCTAGGGTCTATTTTGCGTTTTGATTGTAATTAAGTAGGTAACATTTTTTTTTTTTTTTTTTTGATAATTTGCAAATATTTACATCTGTAAATTTTATATTGATAATATATGTATGTAATTCATAACTGCTTCCTTATGACCATCCTCTCTGTCAAACGCTTAAGTTTCAATTACCTAAATACAGACTGGCAGACAGAGTGCAAAACTCATCATAATAAAAATCAAGCTGGTCTCGCAATAACTGACGCAGTTGTTTATGAAATTACTTATAGTATCTTACAATATTTAAGTTCAGATAGGCCCTTAAAATTCTTGTCGAGTCATTCACTACTGAGGAACGTTATACGCATACTTCACAATGTGGTGATGAAATTATGTGCTACCTGTACACGTAATGTTTATAGCAGACATAAATTTATATAATTAAGTTTTGGGTAAAATAGTGCATAATCGTATGAACAACTTTTTGGGAGGAGTCTCACAAAAAAATCAGCCGCTGTAAACTTTTTTGTCGGAATGTACCTAACATTGCACGACTAATGATTTGTTTTCGTATTGTGGATCATCGCAGTAAATATCGTATTCTTATTGATGAACGCTATCATCAGTTTCAAAAATCTGAAAAAATTTCAGAAAGCAACAATTTTATTTGTACAACTTTCGAATTTTACACTTTTTTATTTAAGTACAAATCTAACATTATTTTTCAATCCTGAAACAAGACAGTGATTTTTAGCTCGCAATGAATATTCAAATATTCATTTTTAACATTATTATCGAAATTGTAAACATATTTCGATCGTATGAAGTTGACAAAGATGCCCTCTGTCTTTTATGCCAGACTTTATTAAACAATGAACTAAAATTGCAGTTAGAACATAACTGTTAGTATTGCTTTTTTCCACCAGGTATAACTACTTGTTAATGGTTCAAGCACTGACGACAAAAGTTTTCGCACAATGCTGCGACAGAGAATGGTTACGCCGTGTGACACTAGATGGCGTTTCATCCGTGAATAGGTATCTGTTTGAACTTTGTTCATTTTATGTACCTATATACTTGTGCCAATAAGAAATGTCATAGTAGACAAATTAAGTTTTTAATATTTTCATAATTTTTCAATACACATCTGTTGATGGTACCAATGATCGTCATTTTAAAGGAAGCGTGTCTTCAAATTTGACATAACTTTACGTAACACCTAGTAATTAAGATTTACCAATAAAAAAACGTGTTACTGTGATACAAAATGTTGTCTTAAATCTTGTTAGAAATGATTTTTTTTTAAATGTCGAACGGTGGTGCTTATCGGTCACTGGCGCTACCACCTTTTATATACTTGCAAGTTAAAACCCACTACTGAATTGTTTTTTAAAACCAAGTAACGGGCGGACAATTCTTGCGACATGCCTATCCATAACAGTTGCAGTGCCACTCAGAGCTTTAAATCGCAATGATCTTATAGGCACTGCCACTACGCCTGTCAGCCTGTGACATAAATTGACAACCCCTGTAATTTCAGCAGCACCATCTATTCGCTAATTCTAGATAATGTTAGTAACTATTTCGATCAAAATGTTGATTATGTTGTTTATGATAAGAATGCCAGAATAATGATGATGATAGGGCCCTAGAATTGAAAATGACATTTTGTTACCTCAAATGTTACATTTTGGCTGCAAAAGTTGCATTTTCTTTTTTTTTAAACAAAACTTCTAAGTGTAAAGAATGTATATAATTCGTATACGCCTAAATCCTAAAAAACAAAAAAGTAGATACGCACAAGGAAAGTTCTAATAAGTATTTGGTTGATTTCATTTGATTTTGCACGATCTCTGAGTTACTTTGTTGTCTAATTTGCATGCGTCTGTTAACAATTTATGATTTATAATAACAAATATAGTTGTATTTTAAAAATCTCATCGTTTTCGACAGTTAGGTAAATTATCTTTTTGACAGTTAAGCTACGAGAAATTTAATAAATGTAAACGTCTCGCAATACTGACTAGTGACCATACCAACTGACAATTACTTTGAAGTTTATCAATTCTTAGTCCATTTTATTGCTTTATTACAGACAAGTTAATCGCTCAGTAACATGATTATAACACTTGAAAAACCGCTGTCCGCCCACAAATGCACTCGACATTCCTATCTACAGATGAACACCACATCTCTGGGCATCGTTCACTGACATCATTATACAGACAGTCCGCGCGCAACATAATAGTCGCGTGAGGGATATATGATATAACGTCTAAACTTTATACATGGCAAGGTGGTCAATGAATATATGAAGTAGCTTAACAAAAGGTCTATACACTCTATGGCAAAGGGCAAACTTGTAGCCTGATGGTTGGTTGACAACGCGAAATTACAGTGCCACTTTTCTTGTTATGTTCTACATACAAAAATGTCTCTTACATTCTACCGTAAATTGTTACCAAACTGTCATTATAACCTCGCAACAATTAATCAAAATAAACACTGTCAGAGACTTGGTCGAGTGACTGATGACATCATACGCCTCGAGTTGATTGCCTGCTTATTTCTCATAATAAAATCAACTGAAGTGGCATGAATATGCTTCAAATGTGTTTATTAACAAGTTGCGATGCACTATAATCAATTGGTCATTATTTAGAGACATAAGCACTTAGTTATTCAGGACACTAGGAAGTCAGACCGAGCCACTTGACGGGGTATAAAGGGAACAAGACGATATAACGCAGAGGTCAGTGAACTTGCTTTAAGTACATATTTTATCTAAATCAAGGTAGTGGCAATGGTGGAACTTCAGAAGCACTCTATACAGCACAATGAAGTAGGTGATCCAAATGTTACAAATAATTGCCGCACAACTACAAGGTTTACGTGACTTCTGTTAACCTTATTATTATTTTGCAGCTTCCATCGTGTATACTAAAATACAATAAATGGGCTACAAAGTAGTAAGTACAATTTTCTGTTGGCAGTTGTGTTCTGTTCCGGAGATATGGTTAAACGTGTTCGTTTGTGTAATGTGACCGCCAATGGTTCGGGAAAAGCTTCCGGTTTCAGTTTTATGCAACTGTGTCCTAAGCACTGGTAATGGAATGAATTAAAAAATAGTAGGGTAGTACTTACTGCCATTGCTGTCAATGTTGCAGATTTTTTCGTCGGTGCCATCATAGCAGTCATTGTTGCCATCGCACCGCTTGCTCAGCGACACGCATCGCGTCGAATCGCAGAGGAACTCGTTGTCGTAGCATACTGTCAAAAAACACTTTTATCACAAAGGCTGAAAGGTTATTTCTGGACTTTAAATGGTAACAGTTTTGTTTACGTAGAAGATTTTTTAAATCCCCAAATTTAGTTTAAGATAAGGCAAACGAAAAATAGATACGTTGTTTGTTAAAATAAAATAAAATGTGTACAAGTCTAATTGTTATTTCTCTTCATTGACCATAAGGTCATTGAAGAGAAATAATAATTAGACTTGAAATAATAATAATTAGAGAAACATAAGTTTCTCTAAGTATATAGTATTACATTAAATTTCATTTAATAGCATCAAGATTTTAGAAGAGAAAGGATTACTAAAATAGATTGTTTTGTTTAAAGTTTCTTTTTTTTTAAGAATTGTGTTTTCCAATAAATATAGATTTGAAAGGACGCCACTTATTCACTTTAGAGAGATGTTCACTCCGCACATACCCTGTTCATTCATTATACTAAAGCAAAGAAGGCACAAATAATGAAGTCACTATAAGCTCACTATAAGATTGCACATCGTATATCGGTGTAGTGTCTTCATTTGTGTAGAGTCCAAGTCCATTTTGGTCACCTCTGTCTGTGTCCAAATCTGTTCCCCACGGCAACCGGCAGCATGATAAAATAAATTATATGAACAAAAAGCAAACATTAAAAAAAAAATCAATAAATGAACTGAAACAACCAAAACAATAAATTTATAATATAAACAAAAAATGGAGCAATAAATAATCTCACAATAATAGTAGTAACAAATTTTTTCTTTTATTTAAGTTCAGCTATCTTTGTGATGTACATACTCTGTAGGTTCAATTCTCATATTTTAATTCATATAATTTTAAGTAATAACAGATACTGCTTACAACTTGTTGGCTCTAGTGGCAACGGAGTTTGTAGAACCTCGGGACGTTGTGTGTTAGTTAAGCCGGAGTTAACACTTTGGGTTGTATTCATGTTGCCTGTGGTTGTATTAAATAAATATATTGTTAGCATTACATGTAATTGTAAATATGCAACTGTGAAATGTGTGTGAAACACAGGTTTTTACATAGGTACTGTTTGAAATAGTGGCTCGTCCCATTAAATCAAATTATGTACAATCAGTCATGTAGACAAAAGTGAGTAATATAACTGAACCTTTATGCAAGTAGTGAAATAAAATAATAAAAAAAACAAAAAAAGAAAATATACCCAAACAGCCAGCTTCATCAGAACCATCAGCACAGTCGGAATTGCCGTTACAGCGAGCAGACCCTGAGACGCAGCCGCCGTCATTACACTGCAGTTCGTTCACTTTGCATTCTACGATAGGCACAATCAAACCTAAAACGCGTACTTGTATCTTACTGTAAGCTGGATAATACATGTCGAAACTACAATGGCAAGGATCACTGGATTAGGCGTTATCACGTTATTATGTCCACATGTTTTTGGTATTACGCAAAGGCTAGATCAGCAAAAAAAAATGAAACAATATTTTCGTGACGAAGAAAGAACTTATCTGTAGAACAGAGTTGCGTGAAAGTATGCATACTTGGGAATTGTGATTATGTAGAAAACGACTGTAATGAATTGTAAAAGTAGAGAAGGAATCGAGAGCAACCCACGAAAAGACTTTAGATTGTACTATTTTCCTATTTTCAATTCAAGACCATGAGTATTAACTAAAATTTATTTGCAGTACAGTGCAGGACGTGTTGCCCAACATTATCACTTCACGACTTGTATTTAGCAACGTTATTAATTTGTCCATGTGAACGTTGGCGCCCGATTATTAAAACTGCACAATAGCACCTGTTGGAATACCTACTTCAAAGCGTTCAAATCTAGTTCTGACTTATTTCATGTTTTTCGATATAGGTACTCAAAATTAAATAGTACGAGCTTTAATAGAATTATCTTTTAATAGAAGGCTGGTGAAATGCATGAAACGCACTTTGACTTGGACTACGCATTAAAATGCTATGCTAAATTAAAAAGCTAGTTTTTCGAGTTATACAAAAGGAAGTTTACCCAAATTTTAGTAAGAAATTACGATGTAAACTCTAAATTTAATTTAATTACAATATTAAAAAATATTTAGTTTCTGTTTATTCATGCATAAAGTTACTTAATTTTCGAGATTTTTATAATAAACACTATGTAAAATGTGAACGATAACTGTAGACACCTGCCCCCGAAGCATGACTACGCATGATAGTCGCGACAGGCATGATAAAATTGAAATAAGCGCAGGCTATTGGCTATTTAAATTAGATCTGATTGAGACAGCGCGCACTTATTCCAATTTTATCGCGCGCGTCGCGACTATCATGCGTAGCCATGCTACGGGAGCTGGCGGTCTACTCTCGTTCTCAGTCCGACATCCGTCAGAAACGATTACTGTGAAAAAAGTAATGTTCGCCCAAATTAAAAATAAATGTGAAGTATAATGCAAATTTGTGCGTCTTTTAATTTCGGCGAGTATTACTTATTTGACAGTAATTTCAGACGGATGTGGGACGGAGAATGAGAGTAGTCCCCTGTCACGTGTACATCGCAGTACACGTATCAATGTTGATTACTAGACCAGAAAGAGTCCTTTAAATCAATTTTCTTACTTGGGTCAATTACAGTCGCACTATAATCAGACTCGCTAACAACGATTTCACCCAGAGTTCTCTTCTCAATAATGTGAGTCTTGAGAATAGTCGATATCTTGGTAGTATTATCATAGCCACTCGTCACTATATCCAACGTTACTTTACAGGTGAACTCGTCTGATATGCGAGACCTGGAACAACACACGAATCAAATATTGAAATAGATCTGTCTTTTAATTGACAGCGTTAGATCTTTAGTTAGACGTATAATAAAAAATATAATAATATACATATCAAGGCTAATAAATATAAAAGTAATAATGATAATTATGAACTGCTCATTTGCTAAAGATAAAAAATACAATATACGGTATTTTATCATTACATATCATATACAGAATGCTTAATTTTAAATTTTGTGTTTTTGTTATACTTTCTTGTGAAGCTACAAGGACATTTAGGATAGTACAAACGAACTATCAAAACTAGAGCGATTACACACGGCGACTCTTAGCAGCGATACACGCGATGCAGGAGCGATGCAAACGCGACACAAACGCGATACAAACGCCTTGCACGTTTTAAATTAATAACTAATTTATTTATTAAGTGTATTTATTAACATCACTTTTAAATTAACAAAACAAAATAACGTGCGTAAACATATACAGATTTTTCATATATAATCTTCAACATAAAAGACGGCATCGATGCAATAGCGCGTTTGTAGCGATGCAATTGCGTCAATCGCCTAATAAAAACAAGCAAATGCATCGAAGCAAACGGTTGCGTCGCTGCTAAAAGG